TGGGTAAGTAATTGTTTTTCTGTTTCTCAAAGACCTTTCACAGTTTCTTGTAATACCGGTTTGGTGGTGATGAACAACTTGAGCTTTTTTTCTGGGAATCTGTCTGTCCTTTGGTCTGAAATGATGGCCTTGCCAGGTTGAGCAATAATGGTTGTAAGTCTTTGACATTTATCGTTTTGACTATTTGGTGCCACTCCCTTCTGGCCTGCAAAGTTCCTGTTGAGAAATCAGCTGACAGTCCTACGGGGCTCCCTTGTAGGTAAGTGCTTTTCTCTTGCTGCTTTTAAGATTCTTGTCTTTAACCTTTGGCATTTTAATTACAATGTGTCTGGTGTGGGCCTCTTTGGGTTCATCTGGTTTGGGACTCTCTGCGCTTCCTGGAAAGGTTTGTCTTTTTCCTTCACCAGGTTAGGAAAGTTTCATGTAGAATCCAAAAATGAGGATAGTTTAAGGGGCCTCTGGGACATCATCAGGTGTTACCAACGTTTGCATCATGGGGATGCCAGAGAGAGCAAGGAATTGAGAACCTTTCTTTTTGCTGTTCCGATTGGGTGGTCTCTGCTTCCCGATTTTCCAGGTTGCTGATCTGATCCTCTGCTTCATCTAATTTACTGGGATTCCCTCTAATGTATCCATTTCGGTTCATGTATTTCTATCTCCATTTTTGTTTCCGCTTTGTTGAAGGTCTCAGTGAGCAATGGGTCTCATCTGCACCTGGTAGATGGCTTTTCTCCACTTTGTTTAGGTTTTTCTCCACTTTGTTTAGGTTTTTCTCCAGAGGTTTTTTTTCCTGTTCATTTGGGATGTTTCCTTGTCTCACTTTTACTCCCCCCCTCCCCCGCCCCCACACACAAACTTATTTCTGTGTATTAGGTAGAGCTGCTACATCTCCTGGTCTTGCTAGAGTGGCTTTGTGTAGTAGGTGTCCTGCGGGTCCAGTGGCACAGCCTCCCCAGTCACCTGAGCTGGGCACTCCAGTTGAGTCCCTGGTGTGGCCTCTGTACATCCTCCTGTTACGTAGTTGAGCCTTGTTTAATGGGAGGGATTTACCCCCAGGCAGATGGGCTGTGAGAACTGGCGACACCCACTGTGGCATCTGCTGTGCAAGCACCGACCCCACGGAGGACTTGCTTCACTAGTTTAGGTGCCCACTGAGTCCACCCTGGAGGGTGTCACTCCTGGAGGTGGCTGGGTGGTGCTTTTCATGGTCTGAGGCTGTCTGCTTGGTGAGAAGGCTCTGCAGCCTCCTGGGAAGCAGGCCAAGCTTGGCTACCAGCATGGCCTACAGTGATCTGCAAGTGGCTGCTACTTGTACTGGGCTTGGAGGTGTCTGCGGGAGGCCAAGCTGTGACCCAAGGCCAGGTGCTCTCTCATGGCAGATTTCAGGGACGTCTGCAGCACGAGCCCCTGGAAACAGCTTGGGTGGGCCCACAAGTTGGGTGAGGGCGGGGGGAATAGTGTTAGCAAAGGTGATGTGCTGCTGGCCTGCGGGCTCTGTGGGGAGGGCGCAGCAAAGGAACAGTGGCCTCTGCCAGCTCTTCTCCCTGGGACAGAGCTGCCCCTCCAGCCCTCACTTTCATGCTGGGCAGTTTAGTTCCTCCCCGTGTGTCCCCGACACCCCTCAAGCGGCTGCCCCAGTGCTGGAGCTCAGAGCGAGTCTAAGCCCGTGTGCGGGCCCCTTAAGAGGAAAGCCTGGGACTCCAGCAGCCTCAGCCGCAATCCCCACTGGTTTTCACAGCCAGTTGTAGGGACGTCTCTTCCCGCACGGGAACCCCCTCGCTCCTCGGGGACCTCTGCAGCCAAGACGCCCCTCCCAGTTATGTTGGTGGGACCAGCCCGGTCTGCACCTCTGCCCCTCCTGCCTGTTCCGACATGGCTTCTATCCGTATGGAAAACTTCAACCACAGTTTACATTCGTCGTTACTGTGTAGATCTGGGGGTCACTGTGAAGCCTGTGACTGTCTAACCACTGTGCTGTGCACCTGAAACGTCACAGGCTTTACAAAGTGACCCCCCGATATTTCCAACACCCACCTGGCATGGTGAGTTACTGACTGTATCCCGTGACTGTTGCGTGACCGCCAGCCTGTGCTTGTCAACCCCTTCGTCTTTCACCCAGCCCCCTCCACTGTGGCGACCGGCAGGCTGTTCTCGGTTAGTCCATTGTCCTGTTCGTTTGCGGTGCAGCATGTAAGTGAAATTGTGTATTTGCCTTTCTCTGATTCCACTTTGCGTAATATCCTCTAGGTCCAGCCACGCTGCCTCAGAAGGTAAGATTTCATTTTTTATGGCCTATTAGTATTCCATGGTGTGTCCTTTTTCATGCACTCGCCTACGACGGGCACTCAAGGTGCTTGTGTCTCGCCTGCTGTAAGTAACAAGGTGCTGCTGTGAACGCAGGGGTGCATATATCCTTTCAGATTAGTGTTTAACTGCTGGCTCCTTAGGCAGCTCCATTTTTAATTTTCTGACGAACCTCCATGCTGGCTTCCGCAGTGGCTGCGCCCGTCTGATTTGTCGTCGGTCATTCTGACAGGTCTGAGGTGGTCTCTCGTCGTGGTTTTCATGTGTCTCTTGGCCATCTGTGTGTCCTCTTTGGGAAAGTGTCTATTTAGGACCTTTGGCCATTTTTTAATTGAATTATTTGGTGCTTAGTATGAGTGCTTTGTAAGTTTTGGATACTAACCCTTATCAGATGTATTACCATCGAGTATCTGTTCCCATCCAGTAGGCTTTTTGTTTGGTGGATGGTTTCCTTTGCTATACAAAAACTTTTTAGTTTGATTTTGTCATACGTTTATATTGTACACGATTTTTCAGAAAAAATATTACGTATATTTACTTCTAGTTTTCAGGGTTCAAGTTTTACATTTAAGTCTTTAATCCATTTTGAGTTTACTGTTGTGTGTGGTGTAGGAAGGTGGTCTAGTTTGTTTTTGCGTGTGCTTGTCCAGTGTTCCCAGCACCATTTGTCAAATAGACTGTCTACCACATCGCGCTTCCCGCCTCCTTGGTCAAATACTGACCCCAGAGGCGCGGGTTTATCTCCGGGCGCTGTGCTCTGTGCCATTGATCCGTGTGTTTCTGTGCCAGGGCCATGCTGCTCTGATTACTATGCCTTGTGTACACTTTGGCACCAGGAAGCGTACCTCCAACTTTGTTCTTTCAAGTCCCCGAGGCCGTCCTTTGATGTAACTTCTGCAGATCTAGTTTTGTTGCGGTTTGAGGGAGGGTGCGTGCACCGAGTTCATCTTCTCTGCAGCGTTGCCTGGAACCTAGACCAACACTGTGGGAGAAAGATGATGGAGGGACAAGTGGAAGCTGGGTTTTAATGCTTTGGGGGTCAGGGGAAGGGCTGATCAAGACCGTGGACACAGACAGCTCGGGAGCTTTGGACGAGACTTCATCGCAGACCTGACCACGCCCAGGAACGCGGTGCACAGGGTGAGGAAGTGCGGCTCATGCGCTCAAGCGGCCGGGCTCCAGAAACGTCAGGTGAGATTTTCTATAACAGTGGAATGGAAAAGGAAGTTTGTGTTTCATTTGAGTTTAGGGCTCACTGTTTTCTCTAGAGCTTCCTGGAGACCCACAGTGCAGGGTGGGAAAAGGACGTTTACGGTTCATGTGGAAAATAACTAATGAACTGTTGTTTCACACAAGTTTCTGGGCAAAAAATGGCCTTTCCTAATGGAACTATCCATTATGGTAAAGAGCTACTATTGTCTAGTAAACAGTAGTGAGGAGGGATGTCAGGGAAGTGGTGACCTCCCAGGACAACTATTAATTTCCAAGCAGCAAGAACAGCTGGTCTGGATCACCAATAACTTGTCCTCTCAAAATACGTGTTTGTTCAAGTCTAGCCTCTCTGGGATAACCTGTGCTCGTACCATTCAAAGGTTTCACACAGATGCTACAGCTGTGTAACCTCGATAGCACAATAAAACTTGAGAATGGAAGAGCACAGGTTTCCTCAAACGAATTTATCATATAAGACGCCCCCAGGGTTTCTCTCCTCGCGGTCATTATGCACAGAAGCCGGGGAGGCCGTGAAGGTGAGCGCGCAGCACGAGGTCCCTGGTGCCTGAGCTGGCGCAGCGCCCCGCGGCGCCTCATCACACCAGGGAAAGCACTGTCGTATCTTCAGTAGTTATGGTGAAAATGTGGCCGCTTTATTTAGCATTATGGTACACAACAGCTCTATACCAATTACTAAAGAATTAAAACCATTCTGAAAGACATCCCTTCCCTCCAGTGATTTCAAAGCTGTACTTTTCCTGCCAATTCCAAACAAATCTCCAGGCTGATCTGTCGTAGTGATTAAATCCATCAAGGCACAAGCCGAGCACGGGAGCTGCAGCTTGTAGTAAAAGGATATATATGTCTCTCCTTAGTTAAAAATACATAATCCTTTTATTATATTGCAGTAAAAGAAATTAACATCATAGACACAGACTAGAGAGGGGAAACTACTGCCAAGTGTCCAATAATTTAAGCCTATCTGTACCTAACACGTTTTGGAGTAAAATTTGATCTTTGGGGACACAGGTAAAGAGGACGGGGAGGGAGAGCTCCGTTCACTTGCAGGTCTGCTCACTGTGTGAGAGAACAAGGCACAGCAGCCGTCCTTTCCACGACGTTGCAGCACTGATCTCGTGCCTCGACGGGGGCAGGCTGGACAGGATGGTGCCGACACGAGGGAAGACTCTGGATTGTCTACTTAGAATGCAGGTGAGAGTTAAGATTTGTCTTAAGTGCACTTTCACATGCTTCGTGTTCATACACAGACCTAACCTTCTTGCAACAGGCTTCACTCACCGTTTCTTTTGGCCAAATGCACTTTTCCCCAGTAAACTTAAAATATCGAAGAAAAGCAACCCCTGTCCTTCACCTACGGGACGGCTGGCTACGGAAGCGGTTCACTGCGGGACACACGAGGACAACACTGGCACGAGGTGCGCTGACCTGTGCTGGGGCTAAAGTAAACTTCTGAGGGCGGCAGGTAACATTCCAAGGTCTCCCTTCCATCTTTATTGATTTCAACATTTTGCACAGAAAGCTCTTTGGGGACTAGAACAGCAGCAAATGCATCACACTGTTTTCAAGACTTCAAGTTTCAAAAGCAAATTGTTTAAAAAAAAAAAAAAATACAGTTCCTGATTTGAGTTAGATACAGGGACAAAAAATAGCACATACTTACTTGAAGGTTACATGGTCTACACGTGGCGATCTTGTCCTTAGGGGAGCAGTTTTGTTGGTATATGTTTTCTCAGTACTCAAAGGCTCAACCTCAAGCAGTAATGAACACAAGCAAAAGTGATTTAACCATTAAAATAAATATTCAGAAAAACCTCTCTGTACATACAAGTGAAAGAATAAGAACACTTTCACGCAGAAAAATAATAATAATAAAGGATTTGTTCATGAGTCGCTGAAATCTGCTGCTCCAGCCCAGATCCCCGTGGAGGAGGGAGGCAGGCACGGGACGCGGCTCCCATCTCAGCCTGCGGCGGGACACCACCGCCCTCCGTGGCGCTCGGGAAAGCTGCGGCCTCCGCCCCTCACAGCATGCCGAAGCCTTTGGCGTAAGTGATGGCCTTCAGCAACCGCTCTTTCAGTTTCTCTTTGCTTGAGTACTCCGGGAGCAAAAGGACATTAAAGCACGTATGAGATGTGGGCAACCTGCGCGGAGAAGGGAGAGTGGAACCGTGAGTGACGGTGGCTCGGGGGTACCGTCCTGCCGCCTGCGTCTCACAACGCGGAGCTAGTGAGGGCGAGGGCGCTGCCTCCGCCGAGGTGCTGCTGTAGGCGCGTCACCTCACGGTAAATCTACAGCGCGGGTGTCGGTGTCCCCACTGCAGAGCTCGTCACTGGGAACTTCTTGCTCTACCTTGAACCAAGTGCTCTTTAATGCTCGTTAGAAATAGTATTTGCTGATAAATAGAAGTAAATTTACATTAATGCAGGATACTAATAGAAATGTGTCTATATATTTAAGCCATTAAGGATACTGCTCATGTTAACTCATGCAATGGAGAGACCACGATTAATCGTTAAGATTATGAAACTGATAATTTACATAATATGACTTTAAATTTAAAAATTCTGTTCCAATTTGCAAAACTCCACAGCAAGTGAGCCCTGCAGTAACTCCTTGCGGCCAGTGTTATGAAAGAGGCTACTGGACAGTCCCCGCGGCGTTGAGTGCAAGCTTCTCCATACGGGCCACAGTGTGATAGTTACCGTTCCGTGTCTGGGCCGTTTTTGGCGATGATCATCTTGAGTTTCCCGAGCCCGCCCACGGGCGCTCTGTCGGTGCCCGTTGTGAACTGCAGAAAGAGTCTCTTCTGCTCATCAGTAAACGAGTGAACAATCTCCCAGAATTCCCTGAGGAGAAAAGAATCACAACGTTACGATCTGTAGCAACACCAGGCGCCCTAAGGATTCACTGCTGGGGATCAAGGAATCCCGCGTGTGCACATTTATCTGAAGGGAACAGCTTTAAAGATGTGAAAGGTTCATCATGACATTACTTACAACAGTAAAAACTTGTAAACCCAAGTGTCCGTCAATAGAAAATAATTAGGTGAACTGTGGTATATTCAAAATATATAATCAGTAACAAAACAAAACCCAAGTCCCATGAACTGAACAACTCACTCTGGATGTCCTCGAGTATATAGAGTTAAAAGAGTAACTCTGGCTACTTACACCTTACTTGGCTTTGGGGCGAAAAGGTGCTACAGATCAAGAAGAAAAGAAAACATACCAACACAAAGGCAAACAACTGTCACTGAGAGTGTGCTGGGGGAGCAGGGGATGGTTCTGTTTTCCGACTTCTTTCCTAATAAAACTTGTCCTAACGCTCCCTGCTACAGTTACTCTAAAAACAAAAGGCTCGTCTGAACATGCAGGTATCCATAAATTTAAAACATTTCTAACTGGTGAAAGAACATATTAAATTTTGGAAAGTCCTTTCTGGAATCCAGCAGAGCACACGGGTCTAGCTTCTCCCAGCACACACCTCCTCTTACCAAATGCTGCATTTCTGTTGGTGCAGCAGATCCATCAGACATGTTCGCGGTGACCACTGACCTGCCTCCCCTCCCTCGGTTCCTGCAGACCTCACTGGCCCAGAGAAAACGGTGGAGAGATGACAACAGGAAATGGACATGGAACCTGTAGGTGCAGCTCAGGGAAGACTGGAAACCACACCACACGCAGCTCATTCCTTTCGGGTGGCCGGCAAGAAAGCATCACCCGTAGGCCTCTTTCAAGATGGAAGAGCCGCCCTGCAGGGGGGAACCAAGCCTGAGGAACCAGCCACACCTCAAGCGGGGCCCTGGGGTGGAAGAGGCAGACCCTCCAGGAAGCAGACCAGCGTGATGCTCTTTCTAAAAAAATGAAAACACTTACTGAAAAAGGTCGCTACATCAATCGCATCCCTAAAACCTACCCACGTCGGAACAGAGAGCAAGTCTGATGAAAATACCCAAACCAGGCCTGGATGAGGGGCGGGGGCCCTGAGGCACACTTGCCACCCGGCAGGAGTAGGTGAAACAGCGGGAACTAGGCCCACCCACAGGGCAGAGGAAGTACCCGGGGCCCGAATGGCAGTCTCGGGAGGGCACCACGCCTGGGAGGGATCAGAGGTGTCCTGTGAAAGGCTTCAGGCTGTAAGATAGCAGCAGCGATGAAAAAGGTTCTAATTAAACAAGATGGAGCTAAGGAATGAAAGTGCTGGGCCCCAGAACCATATATTAAAGAAAATGCTGTTACCACAGCAACAGAGAGACCATGGAAAGCCACCCACACTCTGTACCGCCTCCCCATGGGATCTAATGGCAGGTCCTGAAAATCCAACCTCTAGGCACATAAATGGGAAAATTCAGTCCTGAAGAACAGAAACCTGTACTCCCAAATGAATGTGATGGGAAATGCAACAGCAGGTAGAAAACACCATCATCAAGACACAAAACTCAGACAAGTGGACAATATTCAAAAATCCTGGCCCGGCCAGTGTGGCTCAGCAGTTGAGGTTGAGCATCAACCTAGGATCCAGGAGATCAGGGTTGGATTCCAGTCAGGGCACAGGCCCAGGTTGTGGGCTCCATCCCCAGCAGGGGGCGTGCAGGAGGCAGCCGATCAGTGACTCAGCGATGTTTCTCTCTCTCTCCCCCTCTCTGAAATCAAAGATATATGCACAGCAAAGCGGAATAAAGGGAAGAATCAGTATTTGCATAAAAGCTTTCACTTGGCAAACAACCCTCTGATCAAAGTCAAACAACAAAGCAGGAGCAAGTATCTGCAACTTTATCCCAGTTCAGGTTCTAACCGCCCTGACATATAAAACAAATAACAACGGAGCCAGCAAAATGAAAAAGACGAAGAACTACCATCAACTCTTACAAGAGAAGACGCCCACTTCAGTCACAGTGAGGAAACCACGAATGAGAACAGCACTGCGTGTCCTACCCGCAGGCAGCACCGAGTTTAACAAAACATCAGGTTGGGGAAATTTTAGACGGTGACATCCTCTTGCTCACTGCTGGTGGGAGTCAGGTGCAAAATGCTGCACCTTCTGTGAAGGACAGTCTGGCAGGATCACATGTGTGATCCTCACATGAGAAAATTCTCTTCTAATAGCACAGTATTGGAAACATCCGCTGTGTCCATGAACATGAGCCACCACACTGCAGCCTTACAGCACACGGGGACCGTGGGAGACCCCTGCAGTGAGAGGAGGGTCTCCAGGACTTAGTGGGAAAATTTCCTTCCTAGTTCTGTCCCATGAAAAAGGCCTGTAAGCAAAAATACTTAATAGCCAAACGTCACACTTTGTACCCACAATTGGCTTCTAAAAGCCATTCCTCAATAATTTCTTATAAAAATGGCTTACTTCACACCTAAAGTTAAGAATGTCCAAGTGAGCAAACAAAAAATTTAGTGAGGTCATGTTAAAAGTATAGTATCCTTAAGAATAATGACTGTGAAAACACAATGTATAAAAATCCATGAGTTCGTACCAATTTTCAGAAAAAAGGCCCAAAGAAACCTACAAACTCAATGGCCACTGTAGAAATTACTGAGTAACTGCGTACGGTATTTTTATCATGCTTTGAAAAAAACAGTTCTACTGAAAATCAAAGTAAGCAAATAGCACCACTGATGAGAAAAAGAACGGCAGCTATGTATGTAGAATAGAAAAAATTATTTTCCAAATCACCACTGTTTAACCCCCATGAAATAATGGATGCAGGTAGGGAATTAATAGATACAAAACCCAGTGAAAGACAGGTAAGGAATTGGGGGAAGATGAGCGTAGCAGTAAGACTGACTTGTTCCTGCGTCTCATTAATCCTGCCCAGCGTGTCCCATGAAAAAGAGCTAGTTGGATGGAAAAACGAGACTTACAGACAATGCCTATAAGCTACCCCGAGGCCTCGCGTGTGAGTGGACAGGACCCACACCAGCGGCTGGAGGGCCTGGCTGGGATCAGCCTCGGTGGGTGGGGGCAGAGGGAAGACGCTGCTGTCTCACAGCCGGGGGACAGGGAGCCTCAAACGAAAGCTTCTCAGGAGAGCACTGGCCAGTGTGGGCGGAAGCTGTACCGGACCCACTGTGCAGGCGAGTGCAAGGGGGTCGCGGCTCAGGCAGCTCTGGGCGCTTAGAGCTCTGGACCAGCGAAGTCCCTCCTGAGCAAACCCTGCGCTTTGGACATATGTCCGCAGTCCCTCCTCACAGAGCAGATCAAGGAAAACAAAGGCAAAGCAGCTTTCAAAACAACATGGGCCAGGAACAGAGGAGCACAAGGCCAGGCTTTAAGGGATTTTGCAGAAATCAACGCATGGAGCCTCCTGAAGCATGAGACGCTCGCTTCGCTTCAGTCAAACACAAAATGGGTGTGAGCACTGCTATGTGCACAAGAACAATGTTCCTTTAAAAATGAAAGGACACAAACACTTGCCAACAAAACAGGAACACTAAGCAAACTTCAAGTTGAGCTAAAAATTTTTAAAAAGAGAGCAGGAGAGGCTATGTCACAACCACTAAGCCAGAAATAGGGCAACTGAAGACAAGACTCTGGAAGATGACAGAACTAGGAAATAATTGGGCTTTTAAGCCCAATGATAAATACCAGAGAAATAGAAGATAAAAGCCTTAACAATCAAGAAGAAATGAAGCCACCCATGCCTGAGACTGCTTCCCACCCAGGTGGCCGTGGCCTGGGCAGGGACCTCTGCATGGAGCCCACAGGCCAGCCCAGACACTCAATGGCCAGGAACACGAGCACGGGGATCGGGGCCCAGGAAGCAGTCTCCTGCCCCACGGCCTGAGACACCAGGCAGCTCACCCTGGAGGAAAGTTCATTTTGCCCCACAAGCAACACCATCAGGGCCCGTGGAGTGAAATAAACGAGGTGGACCAAAGAGCACCACAAAGGCTCCAAAACCCAGATCTGTCACTGGAACCACAACCCACAGAACGTGGGCCACGACCTGCATGCTCTTGTACCAATGACCAGGCCTGCTAAGGAAAATGTAAACAGGCCCCAGAGTCTAACATAACAGCCACAATGTCCGGGATGCAGTCCAAAACCTCTGTCATACCAGAAAAATCACCGTGGAGGGTAGAGAAAATCAAGTGACACCAACACCGGGGTGACGAAGATACTGGAGTCATCTGACAAGCACTTCAATGCAGTCACCACAAAGCGATTCTACGAGCAATTACACAGTCTATTGTTTCACAAATAAAATAATAGAAATCTTGGCAAAGAAAGATGTTGTAATAAAAAGGAGCCTAGTGGAAATTTCAGAACCAACAAATACAGTAAGAAAAATACCAGGAGAAGGTGAAAGAAGATAAAAAAATCATAACAATCTGTTTCCTCTCTTGTTCTAAGGACAAAGCACTAAGCACTGGTATCCATCAGAGGCCCTGAAGGAGACTCCGAGCAGGGCTGAAAACTCATTTTTGGCAAAAGACACAAACCTACAGATTCAAGAAACCAACCAAACCCCACAAAGCTAAATGAAATTATTCTTCAGGAATAAAGGGGAAACAGGCCAAGGAAAATGAAGAGAATTTGTCATGAGGGAAAGAGCAGAAATGCAGGCACGCACAATGGACTACCTTTCTCCTCGTGTCCTAACTGTACCTGATGACTAACAAAAGCTGTAACAGCATGAACAGTCCAGACAGTAAGATTTAAGGGCGGGAGAAAGAACTGACTGAAAGCAAGATCGCCGCCACACCTACTGGAAGAGATGCTGACAGCAGTGCCACAAATGCATAACATAAAATACCAACACCAACCAAAAGGACACTATGCTAAATGATACAGAAAACACTAAACATAAACCAAGAGCCCTAAAAAATGTTCAAGTAACTCACTGACCCACAGAAGGCAACAAATAGAAACAAAGAACCATAGAGGAAAGAAGAGAACAAAATGGCAGGCATAAGCCCTAACAGATCAATAATTACCTTAAATATGAATGGTGTAAATTCATAATTAAAAGGCAGAGTGACAGAAGGGATTTAAAAAAACATGACTCAACTATGCTCTTTGTCACTGAATTCGAAATGAATTTCTTATATAGAGGTTGAAAGTAAAACTACAGCAAAACATAGACACACCAGATAAACCAGGAAGGGCTATATCTGACTGAGAGCAAACGAAGTTACAAGACGTGAAGATGGGTTTCACACAGCTATGAAGGACCAACCCACCAGGAGCCCAGGATTCTCAACGGCTGTGCACCGGTGACAGAGCTTCAAAGACCTGAAGCAAAACCGAGAGATAAAAACACCAGAAACAGACCCGCACGCGGTCAACTGATGTCTGTCACGCGTGGAGGAAGGAAAGAGTGGCATATCTGGAATATGCACAGAGCTCTGAAACTCAACAGTAAAAAAACTGACACTACTCTTGGCACTGATCCCAGAGAAACAAAAACTTGTTTTTACTAAAAAACTACACGTGGCTATTCATAGCAACTTCACTCACAATAGCCCCAAACTGTAAACAGCCAAGTCCTTAAACAGGCAAATGGTTAAAAAGACTGGTAAACCCATAAAGGAATAAATACTGCTTAGAAATAAAAAGAAACACACTGACATATGCAAAACCTTCAATGACTCTCAAAGGAAATTGGGCTGAGTAGAAAAAGCCATTCTCAGAAAGGAGACTCTACAGAATTAATTTCTATCACATTCTTGAAAGGACAAAATTAAAGAAACAGATTACAGATCAGAGGATGTCAGGGTAGGGACTGGGGAGGGTGTGTGTGTGTGGCTATAAAAGGGCAAGAAGGGGGGTTTCTCTGCGTCCTGACTGTACCTTAATTGTGACATTGTAATATTTTATACAGTTACTACTGAGGGAAATAGGGTCAAGTAACACAGGATCTGTGTTATTTCTTACAACTGCATGTGGCTCTGATGCATCAATGAGGATCGAGTCCACAACCTGGGCATGTGCCCTGACCGGGAATTGAACCCCGGATTGGCTGGATCCTAGGTCGACGCTCAACTGCTGAGCGTTGCCCCGCCAGGCAAAAAAAAAATTAATTTTAAAAAGTGTTAGAGGTTTAATATTAATATCAGATACGATTTTGAAGGAAAAAAAATTAGAGACAGGCAAATCACAATGATAAAAGGACCAATTCACTACAGAGACGTCCTGAGGCTCAAAGTGTATGTACCAAACGAAACATCTTCAAGTACACGAAGCAAAACCTGATGGAGCCAAGAGAAGGAACAGACAAATCTACAATGGCCCACTCGACACCCCTCTCTGAGCAACTGGCAGGACTGCTGGTCAGGAAATCAGAGAAACCACCCACCAGCCAGATCCAAAATTACCAACACAGATCCACAAATTCAGAAGTGAAGTCGGGGAGAAGTTCTCAAACTAGAAATCAGTAACAGAAAGAAAACAGGAAAGTATCTAAAAACACAGATATGAAGAAAAATGACAATACAACATTTAAATGTTTGGGATACAGCAAAATCAGGATGAGAATAAATTTAAAGCACTAAATCCTTGCATTAGAAAAGAGGAAAGGTCTCAAATCAGTAGTCAGTGTTTCTATCCTAAATGAGCCTAGTGCAAGAGCGAGAAAAGCCCCCAAATGGAAGAAATTAAAAGAGTAGAAAGCAATGTAATTAAAAACAGGAAAAGACTAGGGAAATAAAAAGCGAGCTCTAATATAATCAATAATTTTGCAAAGCTCTCAGGAAGACATAAGGAAAAGACGAGGCAAATCCCCACTATCGGGGATGCAAGGGGACGACCAGATCAGACGCGCAGCAGCAGGATGAGACGAGGCTTACGGGCTCGGCAGGGGTAGCTCTGGCCGTTTAAATGCAAGGGGTCAGCTCTGCAACACAGTTTAGCAAAAAACATGTACTTATCACAGGACCCGACTGCACTTCGGGGCATCTGCTCCAGAGAGATGAACACCTACGTTCACATAAAAACCTGTGCCTAATGTTCGCGCGGCGCTTTTCCTCGTAGCCAGCAGAGGAAAACACGCCAAGTGGCCTGTGCCGGAGGCACGTGCACACCACGCACGGCACCCTACGCAGCAGCAGAAAGAACGAGCTGTGAACACCGCAACACGGCGGGTCTCGAGGAGACGACGGCCGTGACCAGAACGAGGAGCGAGGGAGGGCGTGCGGCGAGAAGCCCTGTGCTGGGATGACGGCAGCGCGCAGGCGTTAGAGGTGCTCAGAGCTACAGCCCAGACAAGCGCGTGTGTGAAAACTGATGACACGGGACTGCGGTCTACAGATTGTACCAACGCCGATTTCCTGATTCTCACGTTATATCTAGTGTAATATAGATGTAACAGGGATGCAAAATGCTACTGTTGTGGGAAAAGACATAAGGGTGCATGTGACCGACCAACCTGTACTTAAAAAAAATTCAAAACTCAAACCTTCCCACAAAGAAATCTCAAAGGCCCAGGTAGTCTCACTGGTGAATTTGATAAATGTATGTAAGAAAAGGAAATCACAAGTCAATATTCCTCATGAACGCAGATAAAAAATTCTCAAGATCCTAACCAAGTAAACAGAGCAACAGATTTATAAACTAATCCAGGAATGAAAGGCCAAGTTCAGTGGAATTAATCATCAGCCTTTGAAAATTAAACTCACTGTCACGTAAGCGGCAGTGCTGCCTCATCCTGAAAAGTCGGTGGGGAAGGGCACTGAGAGGCATCTGAGAGCTTTCTTACTAGCAACTGGAGACCACACAAACTGTGCTGCGACTCAACATTTTCACTTAATCTTTTTATTGAATTACTGGTTAAGTTTTACTAGAACTGTATTTTTATAACATTAAAAATATTTAGTGGTGTTTTATATTACACTAGATGTTACACTGTTGATTTTTAGTTGAAAAGTTTTACAGTTTCATAGTTTTTTATTCATTTCATGTCAATGAGTTCTGGATACCTGACGTGAAATAAATCACACCAAGGTACCATGGGGGTTACAACCACTATTCTATGTCTCCAATTTCCTAATTGCAGACTCTAATGAGTTAATATCTTCATACTTATGTTGACAAGACTAAGCGGCTGAACTTTGTTTGAAAGACTTTTAGAGCCCTAGCTGGTGTGGCTCAGTGGTTGGAGCATCAGCCTGCAGCAAGTGCCTCGGTTGCAGGCTCGATCCCCAGCCCTGGTAGGGGCTCATGCAGGAGGCAACCAATTGATGTGTTTCCC